GGTGTCGGGCCTCCCCCCCCCCCCCCCCCCTTGTGAGCTCCTGCTTTCTTCTAGGGGTTTTTTTTGTGTTGTGCTTCGTTTGTCCGTTTGGATTCCCAGAGACCCGAGGCTCGGCTCTCACGCTGTCCCCCTGGGCAAGCTAACAAAGCCCCTTTTCTCCTGGCGCAGAGAAAAGGCTTCGCAGCCTCTTGTGTGGCACTTTCCATGGGAACGGGGGAGCCGAAGCCGGCCGTGTCCAGGTCAGGTTGCCTAGAGATGAGGGCCATGAAGCCAGGGGGGCCGCAGCCCGGCGAGGTGCCCGCCTGACAAGCCAAGCCGCTGAGTGACGGCTCTTGTACAGCACTTGAGGACAAGGAGCTGCCAAGAGAGCTGGAGGCGGCGCGAAGTCCTGCGGAGAAAAACGAGGGCTGGCGGGGGGGACACATGGAGGCAGAGGGGATGAACCTGTGCTGCCAGTGGTGACCGGCTCCGGTCTTCCCTGGCTGACCTGGCCGCTCTATCTGGGAAGCTTTGGGACACCCTGGGCTCCCCCAAACTTGGCATCAAGTTGGTTTTTTTTCGCCTGCGGAGTGCAGGATTGGTGCCATGGGGCTCCTCTCCCTTGCTTCCCTGCCTCGGGGAAGTTGTGCAGTTCCTGCATCACCTCCTTGCCTGGTCCTGTGGTTTCTGCCCCAGGAGGGTGGTTTGGTGACAGTGGGGTGCTGCCTCTGCTCAAACGTCTCTCTTGGTCTGAGTCAGGCCCGTCTCTGCTCATCCTGTCCCTCTCTCACTCCTGTTTCACTAGTGGTGCTCAGGCACATGTGCTGCCTCAGCGACACGGGGAAGTTCCTACCCAAGGGCTGAGAATCCCCCATGCCCCATGGCACGTCTTTCCTTCCCCTGATCCTCTTCTTGCATCAAACCCCGACCTCCCTCTCGGCTCTTCATTAGCCAGGCAGCTCTCAGGGCGGGAGGGATGCAGGGACTGGTGAGAAGGGGTTAAATCTAGCAGGTAGCTCCAGGCTGGACCCTGGCAGATAGGGAGGAATAGCTATTGTGTCCTTCCTTGGCTGCTCTTTGTTCTGCCCACAATAGTCCCTGTTTCCTGCCCTCTGTCCCCTCCAAGACACTGTGAAGGGCACCCCCTTCTCCTTCCTGCTTCTCTCTGCGCAGGGAGAGCAGATCCCTATTCGATTTGAAATCTGCTCCTTGGCTTGCACAATCCAGGCTGGACAAGCTGCTGTTGAAGGAGAGTTATGGGTTTTCCCCTCCTTGCTTTGGGGAGAGTTTCCAGCTGTCTCGGTATCCTTAGGATGCTGGAGTGTAGTCTGGGGAAACTTTGCACTTGAAAGAAAAGAGAAGGGGGAGGAAAAATGGCCATTAGGCAGAAATCCTGGACAGGAGTGAGTCCAAACCCACCGCTTTCCTGCTGAGTCGGGTGATTTGCAGTAGCAGAGTTGCATAAGAAACGTCCCCCGTCCGCAGGGCACCCCAAAGGCGTCCGGGTGGCTCGGCGCACGCCGCGGTGCCCGTGAGGGGTCTGGGCTGGGCTGCCATCCCACCAGCGTGGGATCTGCTGGCTTCCTCCAGCTCGGCGCAATAATTGCAGGCTTTGAAAAAATTCCTGCTCTCGGGGCAGAGGGAATGGGTTTGCCTTCTGAAGAGCACGCTCCTCCGATGGTGGCTCCCAAATTTCTCTAGCACCTTGGCCAGGGTCCCCATCCTTGGGGTGGCTGCGGTGGATGGCGCTGGCACTGGTGTCCCACCTGGGCTCCCACCAGAGCGGTTGAGACTGGGTTAGGCTGCTCATCCCAAAACAGCTCCCCAGTGCAGCCGGCTTCCCCCAGCCCTGGGCTGTGCGCCAGGGCCTGCTGAGCACTGCTGAACTCAGCTCATGTGTGAGGGTCCCTCCCTGCTGTCCCCCCACCCCCCCCCGGGGCAGCCTGTGTGGTTTTTGGGGGTGGGGGCCCCTTAATTGCCTGCCCCAAATGATGCCGCTGTCCTTGTCCATAAAAGCCCCGGAGCCGGTGAGCGGCGCGCGTGGAGCGCCAGGCGGGAGGGTGGGGGACCCTCACCGCACAATGAGCTCATTGTTTGCAAGGAGGTTATTAAAAAATTATAGCATTTAAAATTACAGTGGAGGATTCTTCCTCTTGACGAAAGAAGCGGGGGGACGAAGGGCCTGCGGCCTGGCAAGCCCCTTCCCCGCCTCTGTGGGTCCCAGCCCTGGGACCCCTGTGCCAGCACAGACCCCCCCCACTCCAGTCCTGGGGAAAGCCACCGCCACGCAGGAGTGGGGACACTGCCATCACGCTGCTCCCACCCCGTTGAAGCAGGGTGGGGATTTTCCCTCCTAACCCTCGCAGGCTGGAGGGAAAACATCTGCTGCAGGGGACAAAAAGCCGGGGAAGGGACCTGCTCCGGCAGCACCCTCGCCTCCCCACAGAGCCCCCTGCCCAGCTGGAGGCTCAGCCCCCCCCCCCCAGCACCTCTTGGCTGCCTCCCTGTACCCAAGCAGGGTGGCTGCATCCCCCTTGTCCTTGGGTTGAAAGGGGGTGCAGCCCCCCCACCCCCGGGTGCTGCGTAGGTGGGTGCCGGGGTGCTCCATCCTCTCCCAGCACAGGGAAATGAGACGTGGTGCGGGGGCAGGATTTGTGCACTGCAGGGTCACTGGGGTGCCAGTTCCCCTTTTTGGCGGGTATGCTGCTGGGGAAGGTGGAGACGGTGGTGGGCATGGGGTCTGCTGAGCATGTGTCACCCTGGAGAGTTGGCCGGACCGCTGGGCTGGGCAGTGCAGAGGGTGGCAGGATGACCCCTGGGGTGGTCCTGTGGCTGGTGGGACGCCTTGCACAGCACCCAGCGACCCATGAGCTCGGTTGGTGGAGGGGGAAATGAGTCACCGCGAAAGGAGAAACGAAGGGGAAGGCAAGAAAAAAAAAAAAAAGAAATCGGCCCTCCCCAAGGGTGAGGAGGACATGGGGGGGCTGCAGGCAGCTGCCTGGCTCCTTGCAGGCAGTTGGGGGGGGCTGACCCCATCCCGGCCATAGGGACCCCGGGTGCCTCTCGGTCCCGTACGCAGAGGCCGCGCATTGTACTGGCCCTATGAAGCAGTGGCAGCTATTGTTTGGGAGGGATTTGGCATCCTGTGTTTCTTGAAGCTGCAGTTTTGAGAACAATGAGGTTTCCTGCAAGGGCTGGGGGGGGGCAGCAGGCCTTTCCTCTCCTGCACCCCGCAGGAAAAGTTACTGCGGGGGGGGCCCAGGAGGTCCTGGCACCCCTCAGTGCCACGGCTGGCACAGGGGCCAAGTGGGAGAAAGGTGGAGAGGGGTTGGGTGTAAGGGCTTTGGGTGCTTTCTGCCTGGGAGAGGGGTTGGGGCTGGAGATGGCGGCTTGGTAGGTGACAGCTTGGGGATGTTGGCTTCAGTGTCCCATCCCACTTGCTCCACTGTATGTCCAGCACCCCACACTGGGGATGCCAAAGGCTGATCTGTGGTTTTTCCTTTGTCACGCGGACACGGTGTTTTCTTGTCCCCCTCTTTTCCTGGTCTGTCCCCTCCCAGGCTCACCTGGCATCTCTGCTCCTCTCCCTTGCAGCCCCAGGCAAAGGGGCTGTGTAGGAAGGGTGCAGCTCCCCTCCAAGAAATGCAGACAAATGAATTAAAAAATAAAGGCTTTTTTTTTTTTTTTAGTTTTAATAGAATGTCGTGGTGGGGCTAGGAGGGAGACTGGGAACCTGTGAGGCCCCGATAGCCCCTATGATGTGACTTGCAGGGCTGTGTGCCCCTGTCCTGGTCCCCAAAGTGCCACCTGGTCCACCCACACCAGGAAAATTATGGGGATGTATGTGGGAAGAGGCTGGAGGGAAGATGCCTCCTTAGGACTCGCCTGCCTTTCGGTACGGGCGAGTAATAAACAATTGTCCCTGTGGTCTATTTATAGTGGCTGAGCTGGAGGATTAGTTGTAGGGTTATTTTTGGAGCAGCTGAAGGCAGTTGCTGGATGGCGTTTCTGTGCTAATCAAGCAAACATTTTCTGTCTCGCCTGTGCGGAGGCTGTGTCCCCCGTCCCCCTCCAGCAGGGCTGGAGCCTGGGAGGGATGTACCGGGGCACCACGTGTCTTGGGGTGGATGAGAAAGGGGCTTGTGATGGGATTGTCTTGGGCATCCTTAGATGGTCTCCCGCTGCCCTGGTTCAGCTCGTAGCCCCAGCAGCTGGGCACCTGGGGGAAATGGGGACCAGCAGCGAGGCGCTGGCTGGACCCTGTGTTGGTTGGGGGTGACATCCTCCTCCTCCGTGCACAGCGCTGACCCTGTCCCATCCCAGCAGTGATGCGTCCCCGGGGCCGCAACGGCCACAGGTATCCTTGGCCTGGCAGCTGATGAGCTAAGGTCCCCGTCCCCCAGCTGTCCCCTCCTCATCAGCGGGTCCCCCATCCCTTAAACTTTTGCTCAAAGCCTTCCTGACCCCTTAGTGGGGGCTGACCTCTGTCCCTCCCCAAAAGCCAGGCTGCACAGCAGGCTGTGCATTTGTGAGAACTTGCCTTCCCACCTCCTCCATCCTTTTTTTTTTTTTCCTTTTTCTTTTCTCCCCAAGGAGAAAAGCCCCAAAGGTCACTTGTAGCCCCGTCCCCAGGAACGCGCCCTCCTCCCCTCCCATTCAGCCTCCCAGCAGATCTGGGCTCTCCCCACCAGCCTCCCAGCTTGGGACCTGAGCAAACACAGGCCGGCCGGGTTAACCAGTGCAGCTGTATGCTAATGACCACCGCTGCCCGCTTAACTCTCCTCCGCTGAGTAAAGTCAACCCCACTATTGTACCCACCTCCTCAAACAAACCACAAAACCCCAGCGCGTTCCCGGGGCCGGCCGGCTGCGGGGTGGCACCCAATTTCCAGCTCACTTGTAATTCATCATCCCCAGTGCTCAGGCTCCATCATCGTCCATCCCCCCCACCCCACCGCCTCCTGCCTTCCTTCCCCCCCCCCCAGCCCTTTTGTCTTTCTTCCTTTGCCCTTTTGTGCACGTCTGGTTTTTAATAGCGCTTGGCAGCTGGTTGTGGTTTCTCTCCTCCAGCTTTGTTTGCTGCCCGCTGATTGATGGCAATGCCTTTCCCACCCCCTGCTCTCTCCTCCTGCTTCTCATCCTTCCCCAAATCCCAGGCCAACAGCAGCCCCCCCCCGATCCTCCTACCCGGGCAGCATATGCCAGGAATTAGCTGTGTAAATAGAGGAGTGCAGCCAGGCGGGCAGCTCGGGTGCTTGGGGTGGAGGTGGGATGCTGCCTGGCACCGTGGGGACCATGCTGGGGTGGGCAGCGAGGGACCATCCCCTCCTCGGGGCTGGCGAGAGCCACCCACCAGCACCCACTCAGCCACCCCATAGGATAGGGGATAAGGAGCAGAGAGGAGCTGGGGGGGTGTTTTGCAAGTGGCCGGGGACGGTGAAGTGCTGTTGACACAGGTGGGGATGTGGCTGGCAGCCGGCGTCGTGGGCAAACACACCTGCCTGGGCAAGGGAGAGCTGCCGGGCGGCTGCTTCGGCATCCCCGGCCGCGTCGGCTAAAGTCTGAAGTCCCGGCGCAGATCAAGCTGCGTTCTGCACCAGCTCCCTGTCACCTGCTCCTCTCCGCCTCGTGCTGGGGACGGCCCCTTGCGGCGCCCCAAATCCCCCAGCCTGCTGCTGCTTCACGGAAAAGGCGAGAGGATGGGGATGCTCAGGGCGGGGGGGCTGGGGTTTGCACCTCGGTGAGACACGACGGTGCGTGCCGTGTCCAGCCGGGACGGCTTGGCACCCTCCTTGGTCTGAAGCTGAGCGTGTTGCGGGGATGCCCGGCGTCTCCGGTGCCGCTTTGGGTTTTGGCGAGGGGGAAGAAGTCACCGCCGGCATCCCGGAGAGGCTGATCCCTGGTGCTGCCGAGGGGTGCCGTGTCGCATCCAGAGCCCCGTGGCCTCAGCCCCTTGGTCCTCAAACGTGCCTCGTCTTCTCTTTCAGACCTTCATCTTCACAGATGGGGAGGATGAAGAGCTGAAGAAGCAAGCACGTGAGTCTGTGGCCCTTGTCCCTTTGCGTGCGTGAGCCAGCCAGGTCCCCTGAGGAGCCCCGGCCTGGGGAGCATGGCTGGCGTGGAGCCTACTGTGGGAACTCTGAAAAAAAATGGCTAAAATGCCACTGGTTAGACACTAATCTCAGGAGCCCTAGCCATAGGGACCTGGGCTGAGAATGAGGCAACTCATTTCACTGATTGTGCCTAAAGCACCCTCTGCCCAGGAGCCCCATCTGGGGACGGGTTTCCTTCCCAGTCAGCCCAGCCCATCTCCTGCATGATGCTGCTGGGGAGCACGCTAATGGAGTGGGTACCTTTGCACCAGTTTTTTTCCTGGGGCAAGGTGGGTTTGATGGGCAACGCGGCCAAGATTTCATGGGAGCATTTCCCTGGCAGCCCTTCCCTGGGCCCAGCGTGGCTGCTGCAGGAAAAGGCAGCGGGAACAGGATTTTGGCTACCATGTCCTGGAGAAGCCAGCTCTCAGACACCCCCTCGCTCCCAGGGTGGCTGGTACATCGTCCCGGGATGGGCAAGGTGATGTAGGGTGGCATCATGCGTGGCAAGTGATATATCACTCAACCCTGGTGCATCTGCTGCATCCGCATCCCTTGCTCATCCCTTCCCTTGTCTCACATGGACCCAAAAACCATTCACAAAAAAATTCATTCTTTGCCCAAAACGACGTGGCACGGAGGCCACCGAGCATCAGGGATATCCATGGGGTTTCAATCTCCCTGGCACGCCTGGGATGTGTGTGGTGAAGCGTCGCCATTCGAGCACGCGGGGAGGCGTTGGGATTCCCCGATGCAGGGCTTTGACCCCCGTCTTTTCCCACAGGGAACGTCATCAACACCAACTGCTCGGCTGCCCACAGCCGCCAGGCCCTGTCCTGCAAGATGGCCGTGGAGTACGACAAGTTCATCGAGTCCGGCAGAAAGTAAGCAGCGCCCGGGGCTGCCGCAGGGGACGGGGGACGGTGCAAGTGGAGGCCGTTCACGTTTTTTGGGGCCGTATCTCAGCGTGGGGTCTGGGGAGCTGCCCCGGCCCAATGTGACACTGCTGCCACTGCAGGTGGTTCTGCCACGTGGATGACGACAACTACGTGAACGTGCGGACGCTGGTGAAGCTGCTCTCCAGCTATCCCCACACGCAGGACATCTACATCGGGAAGCCCAGCCTGGACCGGCCCATCCAGGCTACGGAAAGGATCAGCGAGAACAAGATGGTGAGGTGGAGGGGGGGGTGGGGAGGGGGCGAGAGGTTGGGACTGGCTTAATTTGGGCTGGGATTTGCTCCCCGGTCGGCGGGAGGAGGTCTCACGGCCACTGCTTCCCCCTCTCTCGCAGCACCCTGTGCATTTCTGGTTTGCCACGGGCGGAGCGGGGTTTTGTATCAGCCGGGGGCTGGCACTGAAGATGAGCCCGTGGGCCAGGTAAGAGCGTTGGCGTTGCTCTCCCGTGGGGACTTGTCACGGGGCACAGAGCGGCGACATCTTTGGGGATGGACGTTGGACCGCGTCCCACCACCTTGCTCTCTTTGCCTTGCTGGGGGTGCCTGCAGGAGGCTTGGAAACAAGCTGGGAAGGACTTCGGTTCCCCCTAATTGACTTTTAATGAGAGCTGAGCCCCCACCGGCCAAGCCCAGACCCCGCAGGGTGCCCACATCCCCTGGGCTTTGCTCCTCTGCAGCCCCTCTCTGTCTCCCCGCAGCGGGGGCCACTTCATGAGCACCGCGGAGAAGATCCGCCTGCCCGATGACTGCACCATCGGCTACATCATCGAGTCCGTGCTGGGGGTGAAGCTCATCCGCAGCAACCTCTTCCACTCGCACCTGGAGAACCTCCACCAGGTGCCCAAGTCGGAGATCCACAAACAGGTATCCCCGTCCTGACGCCCTGGGGTGGATGGAGGGGTTGGGGGTGGACGGTACCGTCAGCCGGTTTCACGTTGGCACCTAAAAATTGGGCATCGCTGCTAGGAGATTGATTGACGTGTGACCAAAACGTCAGCGGAGGGCGAAAGCCCCGTCAGCTCATCCCTGTGGGGTGATACAGGCTGTGACTGGAGACTTTGGGAAACCGGGGGGAATTTTGCAGCCCCCCCCATGCCCCTGCTTGATCCTTGTGGCCATGTCGGCCGCTTGACCCCGCTCCGTGCTCCCCTCTCCAGGTGACACTAAGCTACGGCATGTTCGAAAACAAGCGCAACTCCATCCACATGAAGGGAGCCTTCTCCGTCGAGGAGGACCCATCCAGGTGAGATGAGGGGACCCTGTCCTGTGTCCCCCCCCCAAGCCGGGGTGCCGCGGGGCCGTCGCCACGCCACGCTCAGCATCGCTCCTCTCCTCCGCAGGTTTCGCTCCGTGCACTGCCTGCTGTACCCCGACACGCCGTGGTGCCCCGCCAACGTGGTTTACTAGGAGGCTCGTGTCCCCCTCCAACCTCGTCCCGAATTTCCCCGGTATCCGACGGGCGTGCGGGACCCGCGTGCGGGTTGTGTCGGTCCGGCCTCACCGCGAGGCAGACGGACGGACGGACGTCGTTGCTGTGGTATTGCACAGTGTGTGTGTGTGTGTGTACTGAAGGCTGCTGTGCGGCCCCCGTGTCCCCTGCCCTGCCTGCCCTGCCTGCCCGTGCCCGCTGCCTGCTCCGGCCAGGACGGTGGAGGGGGACGGGTCCTGAGCACTTAACCATGGGGCACCCCCGCGGTGCTGGCGGGCCCCACGCCATGCGTGGGGAGCGACCGCAGGCACTGCGGGCCTCTGCCTCCCCCGGGTTTGCTTCTCCTATTTTTTTTTTTTTTTTTTTTCCCCTTTCAAATGTTAAGGTTTTTTTGGTGTGTGCCTCCTCCGCTTCCCTTGCCTCGACCGCCCACCTCGCTCCCGTAACCCCTCACCCATCCCACCCTCCTCTCTCCCAGCCCCAAAATCTCAGCAGCGAAGCTCCGGCTCCCGATTCGGATGAAGAGTCACCAGCGAGTTTTGCTCCCTGGCTCGGCAGGCAGGCAGAGGGTGGGCAGGGGAAACCTCCCTGCTCCAGGGTGCTGCAAAGCTGCTGGGTGCTCAACAGCCGAAAATGGAGGGAGACGGTGGGGTGGGCTGCCAGCCGGCGTTGGCGTTAGCTCCGTTTCCCAGATCTCCCCCCGCCCCGTCTGGCTGAACTGTTGCTGGCAGCATCGATCTATGCACTATTTATAGAGACTAATGTAAAGACTTTCTATAAATACGGGGAGGGGGCTTTTCCGGAGCTGCCGGTGCGGTGTGGGCACCGTGTTTGGACAGGGTCTCCCTTCGGTTCTGCTTCCCCGCCTGCTCGCGGGCCGGCCGTGGGCTGGGTGGGTGCCCCCCCACACCACCATGGGACCAGAGCATCCTCCAACCCTGCGGATGCTGCTGGGGTGGCCGGAGAACCTGAGCAGTGCCCAGCTGGATGGGAACCTGCCATGGGCAGGTAGCGTTTCCCAGCCCGGCCATTGCTTTCTCCCTGCCGGGGAGGGATTTAGCCGGGGAAGGAGAAGAATCCTGCATCCCCCCCCACACAGCTGCCCTGCCTGCCGCTGCCAGCCCTGCACCCCTGGGGTAAATGGGCTGAGCCAGAGCTGAACGTTTCCAACCCGAAGCTGAGTGAAAATAGCCCATAATGGGTGCGTTGTAAATATGTTATTGCGCCAGTATTTTTTTTACTGTGCCTTTTTTTAAGAAGAAAACCACATTGAGAAATATGTAGATTTTAAAATGCTTTTTATACATTTTCGTGGATCAGAAAAAAAAAATCCCCAACCTTTGATAATCTGTTTAAGAAAGAAAAAAAAAAATTGCGATGTCTTGTAACTATCACTTACCTTAATTTATATGTTCCAGTATCTGGAACATCACTCTGTGCTTTTTGTAACTAGGATGTGTTTAAAGCAATAGATGTGGGATGGGGAACCAGCATGGACAGCGTGTTCTCAGGGACTTGAACCCGATTGCTGCCATGGGGTTCCCGTGGGAGCCGTCACCAATAAAGCAGCTTTTTTGCTGACCACAGTCACCTGGTCCTGGGCTCCGGCGTCTCTTTATGGATGAGCTGCGCTGAACACCCCTTGTTCCCCCCGCGGATGTTATCACCTCTAACGAAGCTCTCAGGGATGCACCGAGGAGGGGTCGCGCCTGCATCCCTCTCTTTTCCCACGGGTACCGGCATCTGCCGGCCTTTTGCGTCCCAGGGCGCGAGGGTCCTCTCCTCCTTCCCCTCCCCAAAAGGTTCGGGCAGGACTTGGCACCTCAGGGCTGGTTTTTCCCAGGCTCGGGGTGGGAGCGGAGGCAGCGGGGGCGAGGTGAGAGCCGGTTGTTAGCAGGGTGCTGTTAACAGCCGGCGGGCAGGCGTGTGCGTGGGAAGGTTGGGGGCTGCGGGGGGGGCCGAGCCCCTTCCCTCCCTTCGTCCTCTCCACCACCGTTTCAGCCAACACCAAGCACCCACCTGCCGGTAACTAAGCCTCAACTTTCATGGGTTGTGGCAATAGCATTAAGATCTGCCCCCCCGGCTCGCCCCCACCAAAACCAGCCCTGTTTGTGCTGCACGGGTACCAGCTTTCACCTGCACCATCCTCGCCTCCCTCTGCCTTCCTCCATACCCAGCATTTTTTTTTTTTTCTTCTTCTTTTCAAGGCACACTTACTTACTTCACAGTTTTGCTTGAATCTCTGGGTTATCGGGGGGGTTGGCCTTGCTAAAAATACAACCTAGCAGGAAGTCAGTGTGTGCTAAAGCAGCAACCCTTCCTCCCAACACCCGCACAACTTTCAGACGGCACCAAAAATTAAAAAAAAAAAAAAAAAAATCCCCCAAACTGCAGCCCTTGGGCTGCTGCAGGCAGAAGGGGGAGGCTCTGGATCCTGCCCTGGGGAACTGAGCATCACCCTGACCCAGCATCCCCCCCAAAAAAACCCCCAAAAAACTCACAGATACCCAAAAAGCTTCCCAGAGAAAGGGGAGGGTGGACACCAGGCCCTGCAAAGCCACCATCCCGCAGCACAGGGAGGGGGTCAGGGCTGGGACCGTGCTGTGGGTGCGGGATTTGGTGCCCCTTGGCCCCCCCACCCCCGGGATCAGCGAAGGGGAACTGCGTCAGGCGGAGGAAGCTGTGCCACCCGCCGCTCGCCCGCGTATTTTTCCTATTGCTCATGGGGTTTCGGCAGCGCGGGCGCTTCCCGGCAGCGGTGCCGTCACCCTTTCTGCAGGCTTGGGCCCCCCCGGGAGGGATGGGGAGATGCTGCCAGGATGGGGCAGCACCCAGCTGGTCCCAGGCAGGGCTGGGTTGGGGGGACCTGTTCACTGCAAACCAGCCCAAAACTTGTGTTAAGCGCCCACCGAGGCACTGGGGAGCCAGGGGCTTTGGCGTGGGGCTGGAGCCCTTTGGCAGGGGGAAAGGCTGGGGGTTGCTGGGCATGGGGCAACACGTGGCAGGGGGCCTTAAAAAATAAAATAAAAATTAAAAAAAACCAAAAACCAACCAAACCAAAAAAAGAAAACCCACCCCACTGAGCCTTCGGGGGCCGGCAGCACACCAGCCCTCCGGTTTGTCCCACACCAGGCTCCCAGCCTCTCCCTACTCGTGGGCCGAAAAGTAAATAAATACATGCATTAATAAACAAAAGGAAAACAAAAGCAAAGCCTGCTGCTCTCGCATACTTGGCGGGCTTGTCAGGCCAGCCTGCTTTCATCTGCACCCCGGCACTGTTGCGGGACATCCTGTTTACTCTCGCCAGCCCGCGGCAGCTGATAAGGTGGCTGTACCTTTTGGAGGGTGCTGGTGTGTGGCGTCGGCGTGGGGACAAGCCCGGCTCGGTGGAGACACTGCTCTTGTGTAGGGACCACAGCTGTTGACACCATCGTGCCCAAGGGATGCTCCTAGTGCCGTGTCCAGCCAAAGGCTTTCCTGGTCCCTGGGTAATTGCAGCATTGAGGGCAGAGAGTAACACGCTGGTTTAGTCCTTTTTTGCTGCTCGCCCACCTCCTCCTTTTTTTTTTTTTTTTTTTTTTTGGGTTTTTTTTTTTTTTGTTTTAATTTGCATTTGGGTCACTCATGAATCGCTGCGTTCCCAGCCCGGCTGCAGCACAGGAGGTTTGTGGTGCGGGGACTTCTCTCTGGGGAGCTGTGTGTGCACGGCGATGGGACGAACACCCGTCCTGGCGCTGACGGCGGCGAGAAATATTTGAGACTCGGGGTGGGAGGGGGTGTCGGAAGACAACAAAACTTGTGTGAATCGGCTCCAGCCGCTCTGGCCCAGCAAACTGGAATATTTGTGGGAAACGAACATAAAAGCAGCCGAATCGCGGGGCCTGAGCAATGCACACAATGCTCCAGCTGCAGCTTTGGGAGTTGCCCGTCCCAGTGCTGGGACCGGAGAGCGCTGGGTCCCTATGGGGGCATGAGCTGCACCTCTGTGCAGCTGGGAGCCACTATATCGCCCCCAGAATTGTCTGTCTCAGAGCAAAGCCCTGTGGCAGAGAGTCACAGCAGCCCTCCCCAAAAGCAGCTCTCAGCCATCGCCCACATCCCCTTTATTTTTTTCACCTTTCTACTATTTCCCACCCCTGCATCACCTGCAGGTGGTTAAAAGAAACACCCCCCCCCAAGCCCTCTAAAGTTTATTTTTCTCTTCCTGACTTTTAAGATCAGCCTTGGATCTATCAAAATCAATTCCCTCCCCGCCCCCGCTCGCCCCAGAGCTCCCAGCACCCGCTGCTTCTGGTCTGCCTCAGCCGCCCAGCGGGGCCGGCTCTGCTCCTGTAGCCATTTGGCAAGCCAAGAGTGGAGGAGGAGATGAACCGAGCATCTTAAAAGCAGCTGGAAACACTTCCCACGGCACTGCCAGACGAGACCCGTGAATCTGCAGCACTGCTGTACGGTCCTGCTCCCAACCCCTCCTTCCTCCTCCTCAGCGGACACATCCACCTCCATCTCCCCCCAAACCGGGGTGGCTTCACCGGGTGGACGGTGCCAGGTTTGTGCCTGTCCCTGCTGAGGGCAGGGGACTGAAAGCAGCGGTGACACCACACAGCAAAGCAGTGGCACCACAGTGGTCGGTGTGGGGTGATGTTCTGATCGTGTCCACGGCAGCCCAGGGAATCCCCCCCCCCTTATTTAGGGGGACACAGGATGGGCTATTAAGTTCGGAAACCCCTTGGGGAGCAGGGGCCATGCCCAAGCAGCCCATCCACTGCCCCTGGAGCAGCAGTTTTTGGAGTGGATCATGAGTAACTGAGTGATTTACGGGGTGTAAGCACCAGGTCCCGTGGTGCTCAGCTGGTGGGAAGAGGAAGCGAGTGGGAGAAGGGCTCCAGCCACCAGCATCTGCAACACCTCGCAGTGAGAAGGGAGCTGTGCTTCCTCCCACTCCCCTCCACGGACCGGGCAGGGATTAAAAAAGCCCTGAGCAGGGATTTTCGCTGAGGTCATGGTGAGAAACGCCGCCTGCTTCAGGCGCCTTCCTGCCAAGGCAAACCGCCCTGTGGTCCCGCCTGCAGCAACAGAGACATCAGCCGCAGAAGGAAAAGTCCTTCTGCTCCTGCCACCACCCATCCCTTCTCCACCGCGCAACAGCACGAAGGCACGGCAGTGTGCCTGGCTGCTCCATCGCGGTGGCTGCTGGACCCGTGACCCAAGGTGGCCACGGCCAGGCCACCCTCCTTCCCTGCCCGGCCACCTGAGCAGGTGAAAAGTGCTGGCAAATGTGCTGGGTGGTCAACGTCCTTCTACGCCGTGGTGCTGGGATCCACCAAGCTGGTCCAGGCTGG